GTTTTGTTGACCTTCAGAGCCAAGTTTCCCAGCCTCTCGTAGTCCTCCACGTCTTTTCTCTTCGCCACTTCAACAATCTGCCTCATCTCCATTTCTAGTTCTGCACTCCATCCATTATTCATTTTGGCCTGGGATTTCACGACTTCATTAGTTTTAGTTTCAGGCCACCAAACAGCTGGTTCAAACTTTGAAGGGAATTTTTCAAGCATGGCTCCCAAGAGGGGAAGAGGGTAAGCCTTGTCAAGAGCCAAAACCTTCTCCATGGCACTCTTGACATCTTCCTCAGTAGGATTTCCAAGAGCTAATATGGTTTGGATTTCAGTCTGAAGCTGCTTGAACAATCTAGTTGCGTTTCTCTGTTCCTCGGTAAGCTGTGAGGGCTGAATCTTGTTCATGATGAGAAGCATGCCCGTGGCCGCAGTGAACAAGAGAGTGGAGGATAATTTGAGAGCAGTGTTGTCAATGGCAGTGTTGAGACCAACCATGGTTGTGGCAGTGAGGGTCATCATATTGACAGAGTTCAGAAGAAGAGAGTTCCAATTGTTTCGTTGGTCCCCAATATTTTTGTGCATCTCAACTCTGTCAGCCACAACCTCTAAGATTGCATACAGTTGAATGGTGGCCTTGGACTTGTTTGGATAACAGGAATCCTGAAACGTTTGTGTGGTGGACATTGCATCTTTGTCTGCTGGAATTATTGTATGTATGGAAGCTTTGAATTCCTGAACCAGTTTCGTAGATGATGGAGGCAGTTTTGGAAGTGAGATAGGAACTCGCGGGAGTTTTGGGACACTGATAGCAGCATGAACCCTCTTTATAGAAGAAGAAGAAGAAGAAGATAGAATAGGGGTTTGTAAAGAAGACATGAGAATGATTTGGAAAAGTTTTCTGTTTGGTGTGTTAGAGCAGATCGAGGTTGAGATTTTTGGATGAAAAATGAGAAGGACGAGGGGTGATATATATTGAGAGGAAGAAGGAAGAAGGAACGAAGGATCAAAGTCAGAGAAGAGAATCTTGACTCTTGACGCATTAAAAAGTGGACCTGGCCTTCTCTTGCCGCTGACATTTTCTATACTTTATATATCAATACCTTGCAATTTCAAGCTCCAAAATGTCAGCTTTGTAATTTGTCCGTTTCAATATAAAATCAAGCCATGCCAGAGGTCATAATTTTTAAGCATGCTTCGTTCAAAATTTTGAAGATAGACTCGTTCTATTTAAATTTAACTAACTACGTGTGGGTATACGTACTGTGCAATTCTATATATCAAATATGTCAATATGAAATCAGCGTAAAATGAAGTTTGGACCCACAATCTAATTAATAATTAATTTATTAATTCCCTAAAAAGACCTGAACAAAATGTTAGTGATGACGTGTATGAAAGTGAAATGTAATCTTGTTTGATATATGTAGGCTGAGGTTATCACATCAACATTATGCTTGCTATGTAGTCAGCAACAGCAACATTTGAGTTTTTTTTTTTTTCATTTTATGTTTTAATTTTTTGATTTAATTTAAATTAATAGACAATACGTTTTTTTTTAAATGAGGTAATCTATTGAATCTTATTTTATTATGTAAAAGAATATACTATAAGATTTAAAATTAAAAATTTAGAAGTTAGTATATAAAATAAATGTGTCGATGATGAAAATATATGGTTTTAACATTATTTAATGTTATCAGATGTTAAAGTGAATAAAAGTACAACAAGTATAAAATTAAAAAAGTACTATCTGCACAGCGTTGAGCAAAAATAGAAAATTGGTAGACCTGTTGGCCATGGCCATGACCAAGCCTGACATATCTGCATAGCGTTAGCAATCGTTTTCCCCTTTTTCTTTTTTGGTTTTGGGCCAAACGTGACAGGCTGATTTGTATTTAACAGGAGACGGATTTAGTAATATTTATTTACCCATCTAGGTACTTGCAGTTTCTAGTTAATTTTAATTAAATGCTTAGAAGGTTCTGTAAGAAACTATATAACTATTGTTTTTTATTAAAAACATTTGCAGTCATTTTGAATAATGTAATTAATTTTTTGAGAGAATGATAGTTATGAACCCATAAGAATATTAATGAAAATTGAAGACCTCAAAATCTTGAAATGTTAAAGAAGGGACGATGGTCTTTTTATTTGTAATTAAAATATTTATAATTATTGAAATAATAATAGAATGTCACTCATGATTAAGGAAATTAAGTTGATATTGTGAATTTAAGAAATATCACTTGTGAATATATAGAAAGTCAATTGTATATAGATAGATAATTTCATCAATACATACATCATCTCACTTGTAAATTTTAAAATAACCACTTATAAATTTTTAAAAAATTACTTGCAAACTTATGAAAAAGGAAATTATGAATGGATATTTTAAAACATGATAAGGTTCCTAGATTATTGATTTATAATTAAGACTATTTATATTCATTTACAATTGACATTATATATATTCACAAATAAAGCTGAAAATATGGATCAATTTGAACTATGAGTTGGCCCATATGGGTTTGAAAAAATATGAGTTGACTTCAATTTAACTCATTTTTTTATGAGTTAGAAAATCATAACCTAACCTAACTTTTGAGAGTTAACTAGTAAAATGAGTTAACCCGCCAACTTATTTATTTTTTCCCAATTTATTTTTTCATTAATTTAAAATTAAAATACACCAAAATGATTTGATGAGTTCCAACATGATATTCCTTTATCAGCCATTCTACATACACTAAAATATTAAACCATGATATTTGTACAAAATGTATGAATTGAGCTAGCTAAGTGAAGCCATACCCATGGTCAATTTATCAAAAATCATGTGGCCTGCCTCAACCCTTTTTTCTTTTATTTTTTTTAAATGCTATGGCTTAAACATGCCAACTTTAACCTATCAGAATTAGCCTATATAATTCACGAGTTATCTAGTTCAAGCTAAAGAAAACGCATTTTATTTGGGTTAGTTTTTTTCTAACCCAGCCCAATTCTTAAAATTAATTAATTGGACCAATTCATATAACTTGACCCATATTCTCAGTTTTATTCACAAGTGACATTATCTAAATTCACAACTAATTAACTATTTATAAATCACAAGTGATATATAAATTTATGAAACTATCTATTCATTAGCAACCTTTGTAAACTTCACAAGTGAGTAGTTACTATCTTCAAATTCATAAGTAATCTATTGATTTACAAGTAAAATTACTTAAATTCACAACTAACTACACTTAAATTTATGAGTCACATTTCATTATTTATTTTAATAATTATTTATTTTTAATTACAAATAAAGACCATGGTTCTTCTATAACATTTACAAAGTTTACAATTGTCATTGATGTCTTTACAAGGTCTATAACAATATTTTTCCTTTTTTGGCAAACACTTACTCCGTTGGTTCTATTTAGAGAGTAGAGAAAGAGAAAAAAAATTTAGTCTTATTTATAGAATATTTTCCAATTTCCAATACTCCTCTTTATATTTTTGCCCTTATTATATGACTTGAATAAAAATATCAATAATAAGATTTAAGAATATTTATTAGGGATAAAAGTAAAAACTTGTTAAATTTTAAAATAAAATTAATAAAATTTAAAGTTTTTCTTAGTGCTAGTGAAACATATTAGAAGTAACTTATAAATAATATCAAAGAGAGTATTATGTAATTATTTTTTAAAAATTTAATGAAAAAATAAAAGTCAGGCACCACAACTTGAAATAATGACAGTTGGGTCTCAACAAAATTTTAAAAAATAAATAAATAATATTAATTTAAATTATTATAAAATTAAAACTATTAATTTAAAGAGTTTCAATTGAAGTTAAGATATTACAATAATGGTTAGATTTGATGAGATGCAGGCTGACTGAGCACACATGGCTGAGATGGCTGCAGATGCCAGGCGGATTGAAATTTCCCAATCATCGTCTTCAGTTACCGCAACTAGCAGGGAACCGCTAACAGAACCACGACGTCGTGTGGGGCCTTATCGCCTGGCTTGCAAACGCTTACCACTAAGTGCCTATTTAGGTAGCGTTTTAATTGATTATTTGAGGCAAAAAATTAATTTCTGCTAAAACTATCCAAACACTCATTTTATGGGTTAATCAATTTTTGGGCAAAAAATTGATTTTCTTCTGAAGCTGAGAAGCCGAGTGTTTACGGAGAAGCTAACCAAAACCGTTGGAGAAAAATACAAAAAAAAAGTCCAAAAAAAATTATAAACAAAGCACATAATTTAATAAAAATAAAATCAAACTCCCTTCTCTTCTCTATTTTTTTTTTCCTTAATAAAATTCAAACTTTGTATCCTCAAAAAAAATTAATATTTAGTATTTTAGAATTAAATTATATAGTAATTTATATAGCTAAAATTAATTTTGATTAAATTATCCAAACATCTTCAATTCTGTTAAAATCAATTTTAAAAAAATAATATCCAAACAGATTGCGTTATAACATGATCAATTATGATTAAAATATATCATTTAATCAATTATTTTCATAATATATTATACTCAACTGAAATCCAAACGAACCCTACAAGATATGTTCAAAAAATCCTTTACGTTATTTATCACCCCATGTTCCAAATATCTTTTGACTTTTTCTTAGTAATTTGGCTGGAGAGTCTGGATTCACAATTTGAATAAAAATTCCCGGCGAGCTGTCGGAAAACATAACCTTCATTGTATAGGTGCATCAATATTTCAATACAATGGAAAATATTTGAATCAAGTAACAGATCAGTTATGTGATTGCTGAATAAGCAACGTAACACCGACCCAAATATCATATAGATTTCTCATTCTAATAAAACTCCGCTAAATAAAAAGTAGACATTTTTTATTTTGTTTCAGCCCAAAATGAGCGCAATCCGAGTTCTTTGAACTGGATCAAATTTACCGAGTCAACCTGGCAAATGCACTCTCTGATTAGTAACCAGGTTTTGTTTTGGACCAATTGGTAACCAGGTTAATGTTCTCTATATCAGGACACTATACATAAAGAATCAAAGAATGCTCCTATATAATAGGATTAAAAGAATTGAATCGAATCAACGAACTGAAAAAATATATATATATATATTAGTCTATCTTCCAAATCAAAAAAGCTTGCTCGCAAATTCATCCATAGCGATTCCTTCGGAGTCGTAGGCAGCAAATTTCGAGGCAAATTGTCTGAGCTGCGAAACGCTTCTTCCCAATTTCATCGCCGCCTTCATTTCAAAAAGCTCGCCGTTTTCCCTCTTCTCGCAGTCTTTCTCTTCAAGTGTGGTTTCAATGGTGTCTTGGAGCAACCTGAAGAATCCACCACAGTTTCTGTACATCTCAAACACCATCCCCACTTGACCTCCATGCTCCAAAGCATTCGTGGAAGCCGCCAATGACCCAGCCATGGCCGCCACAATGCCTGGCCATGACGAGCCATGGCTCGACAATGCAGAACCTAAAGCTGCAATCCCAGTGAGCAAAGGACCTGATACGGCCAATGTTTTGTTGACCTTCAGAGCCAAGTTTCCCAGCCTCTCGTAGTCCTCCACGTCTTTTCTCTTCGCCACTTCAACAATCTGCCTCATCTCCATTTCTAGTTCTGCACTCCATCCATTATTCATTTTGGCCTGGGATTTCACGACTTCATTAGTTTTAGTTTCAGGCCACCAAACAGCTGGTTCAAACTTTGAAGGGAATTTTTCAAGCATGGCTCCCAAGAGGGGAAGAGGGTAAGCCTTGTCAAGAGCCAAAACCTTCTCCATGGCACTCTTGACATCTTCCTCAGTAGGATTTCCAAGAGCTAATGTGGTTTGGATTTCAGTCTGAAGCTGCTTGAACAATCTAGTCGCGTTTCGCTGTTCCTCCGTGAGCTGTGATGGCTGAATCTTGTTCATCACCAATAGCAGACCCGTGGCTGCAGTGAACAAAAAAGTGGACGAAAATTTGAGAGCAGTGTTGTCAATGGCGGTGTTGAGACCAACCATGGTTGTGGCAGTGAGGGTCATCATATTGACAGAGTTCAGAAGAAGAGAGTTCCAATTGTTTCGTTGGTCCCCAATATTTTTGTGCGTCTCAACTCTGTCAGCCACAGCCTCTAAGATTGCATACAGTTGAACGGTGGCCTTAGATTTGTTGAGATGGCAGAAATCTTGGAGCATGTATGTGTTGGTGACATGTTTATTTTCTGTTGGAGTTACTGTGTGCAAGGATCCATCATTGGATTCATGAAGCAACTTTGAAGTTGATGTAGTGGGCATTTTCGGAAGCGAGAGAGGAACTCGTGGGAGTTTCGGGACACCAATGGCAGCGCTAACTCTCCTTAAAGAAGAAGAAGAAGAAGAAGAAAGAGTTGAGATATGTAGAGAAGACATGAAGTTTATTGGAAATTGAAGGTTAAGAATTTGTTGGGATACAGTTACACGAATGGGAAGAACGTACGAGAGAGGTGACATATAAATAGAGATAGAGAGATGAAGGAAAAGTTAGACAAGTGGACTTGGCCTGTGGCTGACTTTTCAGCCTCTCTGTCTGCTTTAACGGTATGAATATGGAGCCTCGAGACTTCAACAGTTTAACCCAATCAGCTTCAAGCAAAGCATGCGCTTTTGAGACTTTTCAACATAGACTTGTTCTATATATTTAAATTCTGTGGTGATAGCAAACTGTATATAAATTTATATGCATGTATCATAAAATGTTACATTGTTCCGCAAAGCACTATTCATCTAAAAAAATTCTTACAAATTATTTATGAAAAAATAATAATTTTTTGGTTCCTATATTTTTAATTCAATTATAACTTAATTTTTAAATTTTTACTCATTATAATTAAATTTTTATAATTTTAACCTGGTTGTAGTTCAGTTTCTAAACTTTACCTCTTACAATTTAATATTTATAGTTTTAACCATTTAAATATTGATCTCTACATTTTTAAAAATAAAATTATAAATATTAAAAATATCTTAAACTTTTAATATTTATAATATTTATATGTTTAAAATGGTTTAGTAATTTGAAATATCAGTAATAAATTTTAAAATAATTTTAATCTTTATAATTTTATTTCTTAAGATATATGAACTAATATTCAAGTGGTTAAAACTATACAAACTAAATTGTAAGAGTTAAAGTTTAGATATTAAATTACAGTTAAATTAAAATTTTAAGAATTAAATTATAACAAGTCAAATTTTAAAAATTGAGTTATAATTAAGTTAAAATTATAAAAAAATTAAATAATTAATTTTTTTTATTTATGATACTCATGTTAAATTTAAAATATACTCGCTCGAGCCACAAGTATTGATCCAAACAGTATCGCCTAGCGTTCATCATTGTCATGAGCCACTTACCTTGCCATCTTATGGGTTGGGCCATGTCTGACTGGTTCCATGAACGTCTGAATTGGGTTTGGCTCAATGTTAAAGATTTTGGGCAACTTGCAAATAACTCCCCATGTTAAGAAACTTATTAATTACAAATAAATCTCATCAATTTATAAAAAAACTTTTAATTCTCTTAAAATTTGATTGTAATTAATTTTTTTATGTAAAACGATAAAAATATTCTTGAGCTCAAACCTTTAGTTTGATGTTGACTGATCGCCAACGACCATCGACTAGTCAAACAATAATTTTTTAGAAAATTATTTAAATATTAACATTTTTTGACTAAATAAATATTTAAAACTTAATATTTATAAGTCAAACATTACAAATTTACTAAATTTTTAAGAGAGACAAGTGATAAACTTCTTAAATTTACAACCCAACCTCTTACAATATTAATAATATAATATTTACAAATCAAACTTTGCATATTTACAAGTCAAAATTTTAAGTTTACAGATAACTCTCTAAAAAGATTAATACATTAATATTTACAGGTCAACCTCATAAATAAATAAATAAGTGATTTTATATAAATTTTTCATTGGTTCTTCAAAATTTAGAAACTATTTACTTATCATTCTCTTAAATATAAGAGATCTTGTGACATGATATAGTCCCACTTGTAAATTTAAATATTAATTATTTGAAAAAAATTAATTTGTTAACTTACTTATAAATCTACAAGATTGACGTCTAAATAAATAGATGGACTTGAAAATATTAATGTATTTATTTTTTAGATATTTGTTTATGAATTCAAGAACTTTTACTTGTAACTTCACAATGCTTGACATGTAAATATCAAATTGTTAATATTTTAATATATATATATATATATATGTATATGTATGTATGTATGCATGTATTTTAAAAAAAATTATATACTTTGATTGATCAACAAGTTGTTGGTCAATTATTGCTGGCCAGTGGTCAAAAGGAATGAGTATAAGAACATTTGCGTTGTTGTAAAAAAAAATTATTTGTGTTATTTCATATGAAAAATTAATTATAACAAAGCTCCAAATGACTTGATCACTTGAAAGTATTTTAATGGTATAAAATCTAAAATAAAAATAATTTTAAAGTTATCATTTCTAAAAAATTATATTTTGAAAAATATATAATAATTGAGTTAACTGATCATTAAATTATTAATAATTATTATCAAAGTAAATTAAAGTAGTAAATTTATAAAAACAAGGGGAAATTGCTAAAAAGGACCATGGGATGAACTTATTTGGAAAGCATACAAAAATAGGATAAAATAGCCAGCGGCGGTGGCACCTCATCGCAACCCGCCGTGGACCGTCGTGATGGTCTGATGGAAATGGCTCCGAGAAGTCGCGAGAGAAAACACCAGCTTTCGCCTTCCATCTTCAATTCTTCAGCTTTGAAAGTTTCTCCGGTATCTTCCTCCATCATCCCTTTGTCAATTTCTTCTTCCAAGCTCCCATTTTGATTCTGTGAATGTGACTCTTTATTACCCTTTTGGGTCCTGCAAAACAATACCTCTCTCATTGACCCTATATTGCCACGCGTCAATCAATCTCTCTGAATATTGTTGCCACAAGAGATGATCCAATCATTGTTCACTGTCATATTCTTGGAGGCGGTGGCGATAATGATGATCCTTTTTAAAACCCCCTTGAGGAAGCTGGTGATCATGGGCTTGGATCGGGTCAAGCGCGGTCGGGGACCCGTGATGGCGAAGACCATGGGAGGGACGGTTCTTGTGATGCTGTTATCTAGTGTCCACAGCATTCTGAAGATTCAGAAACGAAGGATTGAGGACGGCGCCATCAATCCCACTTATCAGGTTATTGTGGCTAAGCACCTTGTTGAAGCAACTCTTATGGGTATTTCTTCCTTGAATTCTTCTGTGTCAATTTCCACTGAATCATTCTTAAAACACGGTGTTGACATCAATATGATGCTCGTAATGACTTGTATCACTCTATTTTCCGAAAGTACGATTTTGTTTGAACCCATAGAATACTTATCCTGGAAATCTTGCATTGATCATTTTAGTACAGTTCGAGGGATGAGGTTGGCAAAATAAAATTGTACTTTGACATGATGATACGGATAATCTTTAGGGTAATAACTTGATATTGACTTTCATCAAAATGGGGCTTAGGGAGTAGACGACATTGAGTGAAATGTGAGGCTTGATGGGTGTAATCATTTCTAACATTATGTGCGTTTGCTTCATTATTGGCTTATTCAATGTGTTAAGTTTCAGCTGTGGCTCATTTTTCGCTATGGTTTAAATCAATCACTTCAAAGACATGTCTCGTGAGTTGTTTTCTTAAATTATTGGTTGGTAGTTCTGGTAACGCTGGTGATGTTTGTTCACAATGATTTCACTTTGCTCTGCGTGCAGTAGAGTGGTCTTTCTGCTCTCGAAAGGAAGTGATGAAGGGGGGAAACAAGGAGGAAACTAAACATGAGGTCCAATATGCCCAGTATTTGTCAATAAACTAGGCTTAACATTCTGTTAGGCTCTGTTCTTTGGGAAATTTAATGTCTTCATGGTGTCACCTCTGTAGTAGCTTTCCCACTTCTTGACCCTTCCGCTTTATTACTCTAATTTATTCTCACATGGTTGCTCTAGCCGGTCAACAGTTTATGTGCAAATGCATAGAGCCTAATTTCAAACATGGTTGCTCTAGCCGGTCTTAGTTTTGAATACATGTTAAATCACCTCAATTGGGCTTGAGTTGAAAGTTAAGGTCAAAATACCAGAGGGTTTCAAAATTGTCCAAGCACTATTCATATCGTTCAATCTCCAAATACTTCAATTCCATCTTCCTAATACCCTGTAAACGTATTGTAACTTACGTTAGGACATAAAATCTGCAGAGATTCAATACAATTGGGCCAAAAATCACATATTTTTGCATTTTATTATCTGAAGTCCTAGCACACTCGTTTTCTTTTATTTTCCAAGTTAAATTCACTACAAAACCCATCAAAATACCCAGCAAAAGTGTGCGTCTAAGCAAGAATATCTGATAATTAACATATGCATTTAAGCCAAAATACTAATTTTAGTTTCAGGGCCTGTTGTTTCTTAGTAATCGATTGTTTAGACAGTGTCTTGTTGGCATTTGAGCATCATTTTGCTTTGTTATTTTGCAGGTGCTGTCCTTTTTCTTGCACTTATGGTAGACAGACTACACCATTACATAAAAGAACTCCAAATCCGAAGAAATAACATGGAGGCTATGAAGAAAGAATCCGAAGAATTGAAGAAAGAAGCCCAAGAATTTAAAGCTCGTAAGGCTGAAGAAATCAAAGCCTTGGAAAAAGAAAAGGCCAGATTGAGCGAAGAACTAAATCAGCTGGAATTTGAACTTCAGGCCAAAATTAAAAGTGTAAGTACTGCAAAAGTCAATGCAGTTGCTCTAAGGAAACAATCTGAGGGATTCCTTGTTGAATACGATCGTGTACTCAAGGAAAAGCAAGACCTGCGTGGCCAACTGCAATCATTGGACTACCAGAAATTGTCACGCTCAGCTAGTAAGAAGAATATGTAAGAAACATTTTTGCAGGATGGAGGTGGTTTTCCAATTGCCTGCCATAAATCCTTTTTAAGATGTTCCTTGAGGAATAGGCTTTCAAATTTTAGCTTTTTTGATGAGGTGGAGAGAATTTGGATCAATTTTGCCCTGGTAAACTGTGATTTTTTTTTAAATTGATAAGATAAATATAGTGCTGTCCTGTACTGTCTCTGTAAATTTTTGTTTTTTGCCAGATGTATAGGTGATTTTTTTTTAATCGAAAATTTTATTACTCATGTTTCACCACTTCATGTTGAAAGGAGGGAAGTGACTAGAACTAGTGCTTGGTGGTATATACATGTTATGCCAGAGATCAAACTTGGATTCTCTGAAGTAAGGATCCAGGTGAAATAATGAGAGAGAAAGGGAGATAGCAATATGCCAATGGGTCTTGCCTCTGCCCACGAGTCCACCTTGCTCCCTCTCTATCTTTCTCATCATTTGGGAGGGAAGTACTTCAAGGGATCCATTTTCCCCTTAACTCTTCTGCACTTGTCATTGCCTTTTTGTTGGGCTCCCCTCTTAGGAGGGTGCTCTCTTCCTGACAGTTCAATTTTTGTGTTAAACAGGTACAACCATCTTAATCTTTTTTATCATATGATTAAAGATAAGTTCAAATACTCGCTTTAATATTTTTTAGCCGAATTATGAATTAATCTAAGGAAAATAATTGAAAATTGTTTATATCAGAGCGGTGCTGCATTCTTTTCCCATTCATTTATTTTAATTTTTTGGAGTGTTTGGTTTAGAGGATTAAGAAAAACAAGAAAAGAATGGAAGTCGACTAATGTACCTGGGCTAGCTTTTAACCATGCATTGGCTCCCTTCCATTTATTTTCCTTACAACGAGAAGAACAAAATTATTGCTTAATATCGGTCAATTCGAAGCTCATGATGTCATTCCCTTTTTTCTTATCAGAGTTATTTCATTGTTTTGCTTCTTAATTTGTTATTTTACTACTTTTATGTGAGTGAGCAGAAGATTAGGCTTGAGATTTCTTACTTTTTTTTATTATTATTAGCAACAGATAATTGAAGCATTTTTACAAAGCAGCCTCTCAATTTTGAGTGCGGTGATCAGCATCAAGCCAATGAAAACCAACACTGAAAGCACGCATGTTGGCAACATTAACCCGGAAGCTGTGCTAACTTTTACCTCGAGCATATTCAACAGAGGCTAGACCAATGAAGGTTAATATGAGTAAATCCACCTTCTCATTGATTTCTTGAAGAGAGTTGGCCTGCAACCCTGTTTTAAACCAGAGAGATTGCCATGTTACAATGCTACAGGAAGAACAAACAAATAATTTTCAATTCAAATATGGAATTTGAGTCAGCTGGGAACCTACCATAGACACAAAGAGGAACAAAGATAAGAAAAACAGCATCTTAGATGGGTAAGAAAACACCCTGAGAATGACTTCCAGGCTAGATTTGCCATGCTTGGAGCTGCAAAGAACAGAAAGTAACATGGCCTCAGCGCTGTGGGAAACCGATTGCTACTGTTTAGATGCTGATACAGTGTTACAAACAGAATCAGCTAATATGCATATCCAAGTAGGAACATTGAGATTGCACTGTCTTTCCAACCCATCTCTGCGCCATGACTTGAGCAGTTTCCTTTGACTAATATCTGGCGTACTGGGTTCGCTACCACCGACAGAAACCGTTTATCAGTTGTAAGCCATTGTCCCTAGAATTTCACATCAAGCACCAATATTGGAACTGAAAGTGTCCATCAAAGAACTTAATAGAAAGATCTAGGAACAGTCATGGGTGCAGATTAAAGAATGAGAAGCCAACAAATCCAAGGAGCATTCATGTAATTCCCTCCTATGTGATGTAAGAACTCGGTCTTCACCAGATCAAAGTGAAAGGAGCACCTGAGAATGTAAAGAAAAGATAGAGAAGCTGCAGTGAATACAGAGACCCCATAACAGGATAAAAGCAAAGGAAGGTAGTACATTAAATGCATGCCAGAGAGCTTGTGAGTCCCTCTTGTGTTCACTCAAACTCTTCCATAATAAAGCTTGTGCATCAAGGGAATATGCATATGGAGAAGTAGCCTGCATAAGGTTGCGTTAAGTCCCCTGCCACGTTTGATTAGGATAATAAAAGACAATACCTATTAAGAAATCACATTTAGGACCTAGATTCCGTGATAGATTTAAATGAAATTTCTAGAGTCTTTGAAAGGCTGGAAAAGTTATGTGGTGGAACCCAAATCTGAATATCGCTCATGCTGTACGATGTTTGAATCTCTCAGTTCTAGGAGCTTGTGTAAGTGATTACTTTTGTGAGATTCATCCGCGGTTTTTGGGTGATTCTTAGGTTCTGTCTTGGTAGTCCATACCCTAATCTCTGTCACAAATGGGTGTGGTGATTTCATCATATGTAGGTGTGAAGCTATAAGAGGATCCTGAGTACTTTGGGGGGCAATAACATTGAAGCAAATATTTCCCAGTCAATTTCAGCCAACATAAAATAACGATGGATTTGGACCACTTGATGTTAGAAATAAGGCAAAGTGAAAGGAAAGAAAGAAAGTCAGTCTGAGCCTGTTTGATTTCTATTCCTATTTTTTTAAAAAAAAGTAATACAATTTTCAGAATTATTTGTCAAAACAAAACAAAATAAAAATTTATTTGATTATGTTAATTTAAAAATAAGCTAATAGTGATTATTGCAAGTGATTAATGACAGTGATTTATAATAAAAATTAGTCCAACTAATAATATTTTTCAATAGTCAAATGTAGTATATTTAAAAACAGAAAAAATAAAATGAAAATAAATTTAAAATATTTCATTTTTTTAAAACACAAAAATGAGAATATTTTTTAAAATAGTTAAATCCAAAACACATATCCAAAAAAATGTTATTTTTATTTTTTAAAAAAATGGGAAACGGTTTTAAAAACATAAAACAAAGAAGCTCTAAAGGGCTTGTTTGTTTTCTATTTTCACTTTTTTGTGTTTAAAAATAAAAAATATTAAAAAAACTTGTTTAGAAGAGTGCTTTAAATAAAAAAAATGTTTATATTTTATTTTTTTAAAAAAAGAGGAATATCTCAAACTATTTTCATTTTATTTTTCTTATTTTCAAAATGCATTACATTTGATTATTGAAAACTATAATTATCTTGACTGATAATTATTATAAGTCATCATCATTAACTATTAATGACCTTTACAATCTACCAATTTCTTAATTCTAAAACTATTTTTAATTTAACACAACCAAACATTTTTTTTGTTTTGTTTTAAAAAACAATTTTAAAAATTGCAAAACAGTTTTAAAAATAAAAAAATGAAAATAAAAACTAAACAGGCCCAAAGTATCTTTGAAGTATAAGAGGTAATAGGTAATGATACAAAACATGAATGAGTATAATCTAACTTTGGAATCCAAATTCTTTGTTATTATGCTATTGATTTCACTTTATAATTAGCTCACACTTGGACTCACAGTACATGTCACTTAATTAGTTTGAACCCCCTTGCATACATATAATCTTATGGCTTCCACTATTGTATAGTATAAACCTCCATGATCCATTCTCTACCTTGTACTTTCAATCAACCATGTTTTAGCTGTACTAGAAGTGTAGAACAAATCCGAAAGGATAGTAATAGTACCCTCCCTCGAGCGTGCGAGAACTTTTGTGGTAATTATATCTTGATATCTCATATCTCCTTGTCGGATCTAAAGTTTCTGGGGACAAAGAATCAAGAATCCCCATGGCTGGATGAATATTATAGATTTAGATGCCAAAGTATAGCACATGGTTAAAGTTTATTTGACGATGACCATCAATTCAAGTTGTAAGCAGTTTGGATGCTCTTTTGGCACACATCCATTTTTATCTTTCTAGCTCAAGCATCAGAAAGAACATGAAATGTGTTTGCTTTACTATATATATATATATATATATATTATGTATAAATTATACTTGATAACTGTCTTACCTAATTTTTCAATTTGAATCTTCTACCATGAGTGGAGGAAAGGAAGAGAAGTGAGACTTTGACCTACAGATGAGTTTTATTCCTTCTGACATATTTTTTTTAAAACATTAAATTACTGAGATATCAGTTCTATATTATTAAGGGGGAAAAATCAGAATGAATGTTGAACCAAAGAAGTAGTGGACAAGTGTATCAAAAAAAAAAAAAAAGAGTAGTGGACAAAATGGATGGTTGAAGGGGGTAGAGAGCAAAAGAAGCAGTGATGTTTTTGTAGCACTTCACTAATCTATATTTTCATTCATTCAATTCATTCATCATTTATATATATATATAGTCCTTTTTTCTTCAACCTCTTTCCACATGCAGTGGCCAAAAAATGCTGATGATCATGATATCTTTTTCTGCTTTTCCTAACTCAGCACAGGTTTTCTGGTTGTGGATTCCACTTCGTAAGTTAGCTAATAGGGTATATCGGATCTTTCATGTCCTTCAGAGGCTGCTAATTAGTTGTCTTGGCCTCTAATTCACATATTGCCAAAACTGACTCATATTGCATTCAAGCAACTGTTAATTATTCTGTTGACTTACCCTTCTTTTGATGTCAAACTAACTGTTCAGGACATTTTCCTCACAGGTGTATCAGCAATTTTGTTTTTAAAAAATGAAAAAAAAATTACATAGAACATTTGCCAAAAATAAATTTTAAAGATGAAGTCTCTGACATAAATATAATTCAATCAAAATTTTGTTCATATTAATAAAATGGCCAATGAAAATTGGTCAAGTTGACAAAGATGCAACTCATATCCCATTAGGATAAGTAAACATTTAAGGCTTGCCTATGCTTTAATAAACCTTTAACACTGAACTCACCTAAACTCTTTTTTATGATTGAACTCACCTAACCTTTTAAGACTTCTAAAATTGAGAGCAGCCGAGAAGGATGATAAAGTATGCCTCTTTCGTCTGTGAACCCTGTCGTGATGCCTTTCATCACCTCTTTGTTCTGTAGGCTGTATAGCCCCTTCGCCTTCACCTTTTTAAGATTTTATGTCAATTGCTTATCTTGGTTCATTCTTTGATTTATAGTAGAAAAAATATCTAATTTACCCGCTAAATGGGAGTTGTACCTTAGGATAAATTAATTCCTTAATTTTCCCTCCATATATATGTTTTTAAAAAATTCAACATGACCACAAAGTTGTTGTTCCTTGATCTAAAAAGCAATTTTTTGGAAGAAGCAAAAAAAGAAGAAGAAGGGTCAAAAAAATCTTCGGTCAAACTTTATTTTTAACGATTAACGTTTTTAACTTTATTTGTGAGAAAATATTGCACATTTTTAAAAAATTTTGAGATGACGTTACTCTAATTAAAAGATAGAAATATCTTGTGCAGAAAACTTAGGCATTTTTGCCCCATACCTTCATAGAATGCTTTTAATCAAACCAAAATATTGCATTCACTCTGAACAGAATTAGCTGCAGTTGTCTTTATGAGAAAGCATTGAGTCGGGGGAAATCCATTGACTTCATTTTGAAAGCCCAAGTGAAGTTTGGTGATCTATGCTTTCAGTAATGAGTCAGAAGGGAAATGTTCATTGACTTCATTCTGAAAGCTGAAGTGGACCAAGTTAGGTGATGATGTGCTCTCCCTCTCTCTGTTTTGTTTTTTTTCCTCCTCTCACTGTCACCATCGCCTAATTGGGCGGGCAGATAAAATAAAAGCAAATAAGGGTCTGGATAAGATGGGAATTATAATCATGCTAGTGCCTTTTTAAAAAAATATATATAGAGGGCAGGTGGGTTAAAAAAATAAATAGAAATGTGAAATATTCATTCCAATTAAAAGTATAAAATATTTTTTAAGAAGTTGAATATTAAAAAATGTAAAGTATTTTTAATCTTTCGAGAGTAATCATTATTTTCTTTTCAAAAATATCCCTATTAATAATAACTTTATATTTATTATAGGGTGTTTAGGAGTAAAGATGAAAAGATAGGGTTAGTTTGAAATGAGTAATTACTTTATTGAAGGATAATATTTAATTAAAAATACTTTACATTCTTTTTTAAAAAAAAAGTAAGCCTAATACCTAATTTATAAGACATTAGTCCTATATATACCATTATAAATAGATAAGATATACCCAACGAATCCAAGGGAAACAACTCAATCATTCTCTTCCTAACTCAGTTATCTGTATACATTACAGCAAGAACATTTTGTGTAAAAAAGTTACAATTTCTCTAAGCTTTACCTTAAAATTTTTTGGGTTTCGTCTGAATTATTGGCAATAGTTAATTAGAGGGATCAACATAGGGAATTTATCTGTTTATTTGTATATTTATTGTTTAGAAGTGTTTATTTTTTATTTAAAATTTAGCTAATTAAATAATTGATTTTCTTAAATTACTAAATTAAAAATATTTTTCAATTTTTTAGAATAAAAGGAATAAAAATTTAGACAATCTTAAAAAATATATACACCATCATTATCATTTGAAAAAATACTCACATTTAGTGCATGATCGTACTCATAAGTACTCCTTCCAGGTCCTATTATAAGGCACTTTTTAGAAAAATTCATTGGTCCTTAACACAAGACACTTGATGAAATATTAATTATATTTTTAATATTATTTCTATTTAAATTTATTAATTATAAGAAAAATGTAATGTAAATTAAAAAATTCTTCATTTAAATAGGGCAAAATTAAAAGTATATTCTATTTTTAGTCCAAATTAATAACTATTCCACATCTTTTTAATTTAAGCAAGATAGTTAAATAAATGTGCCTTATAATAAAGATCGTCCAAAGTATATGTGAACAATCAAAATATATACTCCCTTTGTTTTTATTTATAAAAAAATTATATCATACAGTTTAAAAAATTAATTAATTATATTAATTATACCTAAAAATAAAAGAATTAGATTATAATATTTTTTATTAATTATGCTAATCAAATATTTATTAATTATTTTTTTATCAGTATGAATGATAAAATTTTAAATAAAAATTTAAGAAGTTTACAATAAATGTTTGCCAAAAAATGATTTTTTTATTAAAAAAAACCAAAAGCAATAGTTTCTACTGTAAACAAAAAACTGAGGGAGTACTGTGCTGTGTAAACCACCATCCACGTGGCGTCCATTAAAAGTTTTTCACGAACTGTTTCCTTTTGGCGGTAGGGGGGAGCTGATAGGAGGAATTGGAAGTTCGGTGGGAGTGGAGGCAAAAAAGTAAATAGGGAAACATATTAATTAATTATTTAGTTGATAAATGAAACATATGGTGTTTTTTTAAGGCTATATAAATACCAAACTTTTTCTCTCTCTTTTTTTCTTAGTTTGCATTAACTATGGAGGGAAAAGTCAGGTTAGTGACTTTAGGTAAGCTCATTATGATGATGATGAATGAGAATGATAGTTAATTCTCCAAAAAAAAAAATAATAATAACTAGCTCCTCAATAAATTTTTTTTAAAAAATAACTTGTAAATATCAATTTAAAAAATTATAGAATCAAGCTTTTTAATTTTAATTATAAATAAAATATTTAAGTTTTAAATATAAACTTAGATTATAACTAGGATTTCTGTTTATAATTATTGAATTCATATTTACAACTTATTTTTTTAAAAAATTATTAAAGATCTAATTGTCATTAATTTAATTTTTTTAAAACATAATTGAAATTTTTTAAATATAAATATAAAAAAATTTCAAAGTACTAAATGACTTTTGGTGTTAAAACTTAAAAGAATTTTAGCGCCTTTGTTTTTTTTTTATTATTATTTTCGTTGGATTCACTAAGCGCCTCTTGATTTGAGACAAAAATATCTCCATGGTCGATGCATTATGCATTTGCCTAACCATAAGACACTTTGGTTTCCTTTTGGGGAAAAGGACAATTAAGGACCCCACCAATTCATTTATTACAATTAAGAACATCAAATTATTGATATTTTAATAATGAATTATAGTTATTACTTGGTAATAAAAATATGTGAGTTTATAAAATAACATTTGAGTGCTAAAATTTCTATCATGAGTTGAGATTATTAGTAATCTTAGTTGAAAAAACAAGAATTCACTCTTGCGAATGAGATTAATAGCAATCCCAACTCGTAATAGTAATTTAAGTAGTTCCAATTCATAACACTCGAAATTCTAGTTTTTTCAATTGAGATTAACAATGGTTCCAACCTATGATATTAATTTCAATCTATTTTTAATTTTTCAAGTAGTTTGCCTATATATTGATAGACAAAAATTTACAAATAATTGACTTTATATTCAGCAATAACTTTGATAAATTTTTAAGTGATTATCGTATATTCATAAGCATCTTTTGAGAGTTTCACAAGTGAATTTTAATTTTATGTTGAGAAACAACATATTCTCAAGTATGGATCGTGATTTTTTTAACTAAAATTAACAATAGTCCCAACTCATTATAATAATTTCAATAACATCTTTTTTTTTTGTATTTTTCAAGTGAGGAAAATTTTATAAACTCATATATATTTTTAATTCCAAGTAAAAATCATAGTTTATTATTAAAATATCAATAATTCAAAATCTCTAATTGTAATTAATGATCTTATGAGATTTTTAATTGCCATTATCCCTTGCTTTTGTGGAGCCAATAATGTCTTTTGATTTTCACCTTTGGCAAAGTTTCTTTCCTTCTCTCTTTTACTTGCATACAACGTTTCTTGTTATGGGCTCATAATAATTACAATTTTTGTGATTTAGGAAATTTTATGATGCTAGATTCCAGTTTCTACTTTCTAGTAGATAACATAACAACACAAGCAAAGCTACATATAATTTTTAAGGTAGGCATATGCTTCCTCTGGTTTTGAATATAAGATAATTTTAATTAGGAAACTTGTTTCAGTTTAAATTATAAGAAATAAAGAGCTTATTATCTAATTATCTTTGCATGAATTATATTATTTTAATTATACCAATGATTAAATTGTGAATGGTAATTAAGAATAATGAAATATAGTATATGGTAGAAGTTTATATTATTTTCAATTTTTGACACATTTAAAAATAATAATCATTTTACCAACAGGAGTTAGATTTAGTGAAAAATGATAATCTTTGATGAATCAAGAGATGAATTTTTATTGAAAGATGTGTTTATATTCTATACTTGAGTATGATTCAAACAAAATTGTCATAGAGGGATAGATAAATGTACTTAATTTTTAAAATCATTTTTTAATATTGATAAGATAATTATTTGTTCCTTTTTCAAAATCGAATGGAGTACCTCTCCAAACACACAATTTTTTTTTTTGAATATAAGTTAATGGAAAAATTCCTGCAAAACAAAAGCAAATCAAATTATATTAGAGTACAAAAAATTCTCACATTGGGTGAGATGTAAAAAATCTTAATATCTAAATTATCATTTGAGGTTGGATGTGCAAGCCAATTAATGTATTTATTAACTTTTTTAAAAACATAATCAAATGCAATTATTCAGCCTCTTATGACAAATTTCCTGATTTTTCTGATAATTTTAATAAGGGTTTGTTATCAAAGAATTCATATTAAATGATTATGAAAGCTTTAAAAAAGTAAGAATGAATGTTTAATTTTATCAAACGTGTCATTCTAACATATTTTAATTCCTTCAAAGATACCATTAGTTCTGCAGCAGTAATGGGATCATGCCTCATTATTATACAGCGGTAATGATCACACAATTTTAATACCATGCCTCATTATCTTTAGAAAGTTTGGGATCATTGAAGTTATATGGGTATATGCATGTATTTTATTTGGAAGACACATCTTCCCTACTCTTCAACATGTCTCATACTTGATTATTCCACGTTCATCCGCAAATTTGGAAGGCAAGTTTAATTTGTTTGGAAAGGATTTGAAGATGAAAAGATTCAGGAAATTATTACTTTCCCATTCAGAATTGCTAACAATCTCTCTTTGTATTGAATTTGGTGAAAATCAAATTACCTATGAAACACATGAAACAAATCCATCAAGTAATTCCAATCAGGGACGTGCTCCAAAGTCTTCATCTCATCTAGTTTCTCGTGAACCAAAAAAGAAAGCCAAATCCGCTTGTGATTTTACAAAGACAGCCTAGTTTTCCCAAGTAATCATGTGTGTCTGTGTATATATATCGCCTCGAAATTTGACCTACTTAGCTATTATGTTGGCCACATGTGAAACCATTATAACCCATAATGCCACTATAGAGTGAGAGACAGAAGCAAACCGTGAAAAATTCTTTCCTTATTTTGAGATTCAATTTCCCTCTTGAGAACAATCATCCTTACATATGACCAATCATCATAGCCTAACATTAATCCTTTGTTACAACTAATGTAGTTGCTGCCATTACAACAAACCTTACAATTCACATTATTACATAGCCACAACCCAATTGTAATTACCGTTTTGGGTTCATAACAGTGCACTAAACTTCCCTCATGTCCTAGGTCAACATTGTAATTCTCACTTGTCTCATTGCTATTTCTCACTGTGACCCACTCTTCATCATCCCATCCCCAGTTGGGCTCATTGCAATCAAACGACGTCGTAGCTTCTGCACACAACCTACGGATCCGGTCTCTGCCAGGATTGCTGGAACGAACACGGGTCGGGTCTTGGGTGGTCTCCCACGAATCCCAAATGGATCCATCTATTACACTCGTCGGAGTATCCAGCTTAGAGCTTTCAAATTCTTCCATGGATGATTTAGATGAAGTTGATTCTTCCACAAACGCGTGCCTGAGGAGCTCGGCCACGGACCACCTCTCATTCGGGTCTCTCTTCAGACACTTGCTCACGAAGTCCCTCCCTTTCTCCGACATGAACCCTGGAATCTCTGGCACATCGCCTGAGAACCCGATCCGATAAACCGCACTTAGCGGGTCGGCTACATCTGGCCAGGGAGCCTTCCCGGTGATCATCTCCAACACAGTACACCCCAGAGACCACACGTCGGCAGCGAAACCCTGTTGCTCCCCACGCGCCACCTCTGGCGCCATGAACAACGGTGTACCGGCAACCAACCCGCCGCAATCCACCGCATCAGCGCCCCTCCGAGCACAACCCAAGTCTGCGATTTTAGCCCCTTCCTCCGTGATCAAAACATTCTTACCTTTAATATCACAATGCACTATGCCATTTGAATGAAGATGGTCAAGCCCCAGCAAGATTTGGCGCGCATAGGTTCGAACCACTGCCTCATCTAGTCCGTCTCGCCGGCGAGTCATGTCGGCTAGCGTACCATAAGGTGCATACTCCATGAACAGATTGTACCAAAGTACGTTTCTCTCCGACGTAATGTCAAAACCTTGGTACGCTACAATGTGAGCAGATTTCAATGTGGACAGAATTTTCTGTTCCCTTTGAAGCAACTCCGATCGGTTCAGCTCCGCCGACTTGACAGCGAACAAGCGACCGGACCGGCAATCACGGGCAATTGAAACAGTGGCGGTGGCACCCCGGCCGACGGTGGGACCCCTAGACCAGTCCATAGAAGAGAGCTCTAAAGCTTAGAGTTTAATTTGGAGCTCTAAAAATGGTTTGGACTATAAAATGTGAAATGAGAAGGTGGGTTTGTTTGTTAGGAGCTACCATTCTGCGTTACCCATATTTATACATGCAAAGGTTAAAACTTGAAAAGTTTGGTTTGGTACGGTTGGCTTCAAGCAAAGGAATATGTAGTACGCGAGTTGTGAGATTTAAGATTCTAGAGTCTTTAGTTTTTGGTTGTGTTCACATCTTCTCACACTCCTGTGCTGGGTGAGATCCACGTGTCAAAACAAGAGTGTGTGGGGCTAGGAACTTCGTTAATCAGCCGGCGATGCACACAAGAAGTCAGATAAATTAATTTGTTCCCAAGGCACATAGCCTCGCAATTTTTAATTAATTAGAACCGTACTACCCAATTAAAATGAATTGTTTTCAAATTAGACGCGCCTAGTTAAGTTAAAGTACCCTTAGAAACTTTAAAAAAAATGATTTGACTCGCTTAAATTATAATCAAATTTAATAGATTAATGTAGTTTATTGTGTTCATTTTTTTTAAGTTGACTTTGGGTTTAAAACTAGAGTCATATATAAATATATAGGAGAATGGTGCACATGGAGGCATGTGCTGATGCATCAGGGGATGGCTCATGAGAACAAGTTCATGCAATGTACCAGAAGATTTAATAGCGTATTAATTCCTCTAATATACACACCTATATATGGGGAAGCATGGGAAATTAAATTTATATGGCTTTTAGGGAAGATAAGAGGATTCAGTGTCCCTATCCGGCGAGTATATTTCGTTTGCCATGCGTGTATTTGGATTTCAGTTAAGTAAAGTCGGTTATAAAAAACTAATTATTAAATAGATTTTAAAATAATTGATTATCCAATAGATGGAGCTTCAAATAGTTTCTGCCATGATAGAATTTCAGAGAGTCTAAACAGAGTTTCTGAAAAAATGGAGGTATTTGAGTGATTTTTTTTTTCTTCCCAAAAATGGAGTTTCTGAAAAAGATAACTTTCAGGAGCTATTCATCCTTGTGCTTCTTCTTTTTTGTGTTTTTATTTTCTATACTTTTATTTTTTATTGTTTTAAATTTTTTCGAAATTCTCATACTTTGTTCATGGAAGGATCTAAAATAATAAAAAATAAAAATATAATAATTAAAAATATCAAAAAAAAAGTATAGGAATCAACAACAAAATATAAACAAAGTACAGAAAAATAAGATTATATTTTTCTTTGATTATATTATTAATTGGTATTATTTTTTTTAAGACTTAACTGTCATTTTCTGATAATATAATGGCTGTGTACTTGCAATAATGAACTTGAATCCTGATGGCGATAAGAAGAGAATTTTTTATTTATTTATTATTTTTCTTTTTTTGTGTGAAAGAAGTTCAAATGAAGAGAATGTTGTTAGGAAGGAAAGCAACGTAGATGATTGGCATTGATAAGAGTAAAAGAGAGGGAGGATTCAATTCACTAGATAGAATTAGGCAAGAGTGCAGTGATAAATTAAACTGTGTTTGACTTTTGACTGCCTAATTATTTCCGTACTCTGGATGGATAAAATGGTGCGTACGTAGGTGCACAGGAACATGTCAATTTGTGACTACGAGTTTAGTTCAAAGGATTTGCATATATTTTATGTACAACTGGCATTTTGAACAGGGTTGGATTTATCTAAATCAAGCTCAAGTTAGGTTAAATTTATTTGAATTAAGTTTAAAATATTTTAACATATAAAAAAACTTATATAACAAAGCTTTATCTTAACCCCTCAAGCTTTAGAATTTATTTAGGCTAACTTAAATACTTGAATTATTAAATATTATTTTATTATTTTTTATGTAATTTTAATTTTAATTTTTTAAAAAGTAATATTTTTAATTTTTATCTTATTTTATAAATAATAATAAAAATTCGAGTATCTAGTTAAGTTTATTAAAATTTGAGCTTGGTGGTTCAAATAAGCCTGGAATAAAAAAAAATCCTCTAAACTTCAAACCTCAACTCTAAAATTATTTGAATTTATTTGAGTTAGCCTTATCACTTGGCCAAATTACTATGCTTTAATTTTATCCTAGTTTTTTGGCTCATTAACAATGAAAGGAATGCACTTCTAATTCAAAATGTTGAATTTTCAACTGTTCTTAGCACGCTGAAAGTTAGATAGTTCTAGGGGCTACTTTTATAAATCACGTGTTTTTTTTTTTTTATGATAATAAGACTTACTTTTCAATCATTTACCAAATTTTAAGGGATGATTCACATTGTAAATGGATTATATGAGAAAGACAAAAATGAAGAGAAGCAGTGAAAGAAAATAGAAGGCTTACACCTACCTACTACTCCTTTTTCTGCACTTAAATAGTAACCAGAGGCAATATGTCTCAACTATGCATTGTATTTGAAGTAGGGATTGATATTGTGTAGTGGAATTGGATGAGGCGATACGGAAGGAAATGTTGAAGAAAGGGAAGGCAGGAATAGTTGGAGTGGCCTTGTGATGAGTGTAAAGAAGCTTATGACAGTTGGAGCATAGTTGGAAGCGAGCAAACCCAACTAATTAACCTCTTTCACACAATGCCCACTTTTACATGTATCTGCACTCAAGTACTATTTTCAGCCTCTGTTATAGGATATTTTTTTAAAAAAATTCTTTTATTTTAATATAAGATACTTGATTGGGTATATTAATTACGTTGTTTTAATATTACTCTTAGTTAAACTCATTAATTATGAGAAAGAATATAATACAAATTTAAAAATTATTCATTTGATGAATAGAGATAAAATTAAAAATTTATTCTATTTCTAGATGTAGTTAATAATTTAATTATATTTTTTTAATTTTAGTGAGATAGTTAGAAATGTTTTATAATGAGGGATAGAAGGAGTGTGCTTAATCCATGAGAAGATGTAAAATTTAAGTAATTAATGAAGACCATGAGAAGGAAGCTAATAAGCCATCCAGCGTTTTGAAATTTGAACATGATAATTAGGGATAGAAAATGGGGAAGATGTCACAATCTTCAACATTTTATGGAAGCTAGCTAGATTTTTTTTTTTGGCCGTAAATTGAATGTTTTGACAATATGTACTGTGCTTGAGTGAGAGAACGTGGACGTTGAAAGTAGAATCCAAAGAAAATGCCATCACGTGCCTCCCGCAAAGGCAAAGTGGCTTATTATAGTTTCTTTTATTTGTTTTTCCTTTTTACTTTTTCTGATGAGTAATCCATTCATGAATCCGTAACCAAGGAAGCGTGCTGTAACATGCAAGCAAATGCAGCATCCACCTTTTTTTCTTTTAATTAAATTTTAATTTGGATCTTCAAAAGTAACTTATAATTTTATATATTATCATCGCTCATCGTCATCTGATGATTCTCCAGAAACACGATCTTGCTTTCCCACTCAATGACTTATCCAGCAAGCTTAGTAACTATTCTTGAACTTTTAATTTCATCGCCATGCCAGCTAGACTTGGAAAGAAAAAAAGATGGACACAGTTCGAAGTCTAAGGAATCAAACTAAGTTGAGCAGTCTAAGGAATCAAACTAAGTTGGGTAAATTCAGATCAAGTGCTTTTCCTGTTTTCAGCTACACCTTGTTCTTGCAGACTATTGGGAACAAGGTCCTCTTTAGTTACAACCATCATATTTAGAGTTTGTCCTATTTTTAGCCATTATCGATGGACGATGCAATGTTATTTAAAGTCATTTGTTTCTAAGACCTGCTTTTTTTTTTTTTTGGTTCAGAATCTTCTATTAGAAAAAGGGAATATCCCAAAATTTGCTCAGATTTCAAAGCATTGCCATTAACTTCCTCAACAAAGATCAGAGAGAAGGTTTTATTTATTTATTTATAAGACATCTCATTAACTTTTTATCATAAGTTTTCTTTTTTAACCCATTAAATGTGAGAAAAAATATTGGTTATTAAAGTATGTATTTTAAAGTTTTTTTTGATTCCATTCTGATGAAAATAAGTTGAAAGTAAATTATAAATAAAATCAAAAGGGCTAGTTAAGGTCCTGACAAGTAATCCTAACTCAAAGTGGTTGTATCTTTTATTAATTTTTAAAATAATGATGTTCCTTGTATTCAATGAATATTAATCAGTAATTACACATATATGGTTGAGATACACACATAAACCAATACCAAATGAACATGACAAGTATGTACGTATATCTATATATATTCTTCATGCAGCTCTGGCAAATCCCACTCTCAAGTTACCAAGATCAAACACTGTGTGATAGGGGCCCATGAAAACATCCCCAAGGATCCTGCATTATGCAGACACCAATCATCATGTCAGAATCTGATCAAATTCTTAATATCAGAATCATGTTCATATGTTTTCAATTTCATAATTTTTTTTTTTTTGGGAGTAATCTTCTGAAGACAAAATTGACAGAATGGACGGAGGTATAGTTATGGGGTATGTACCAGATAGGGCCCCGAGGAGGAGGCACATCCAAGCAGAAAAGCCACTGATGCATTGAACTTGAGAACCTTCTTCATCCTTGAGAATATACTGAATACACCACACAAATAAACACATGTAAAATAGAGATTTGTAAGTACAACAGATAAATTTTGGTATGGCAAGAAATTGGAGGCTATGAGATTAGAAATTTGGTCAACCTCATTCTGATTTATTTCCTGATGTTTCATTTTCTTATTAGGAAAACAAATATGATGAGTCTCTTCCATCTTGTAGTGATGAATGAGAATTGACAGTAAAATATTTTAGTTTTGAGTATAAAAGGATTGAGAATATATTATTACTTCATTGGGGAAAGGTCAAAAGTTTTTCCACCAATAGTGAAGGAAATAGTAGGCATTGAAGGTATCTTTTCACAGTCAACAAGTGCTTCTCCCAGTTTACCACAAGCCTGCAATATCACACAAGGCAGAGAACTCAATCCAAATTTAAATTCATTCAACTTTTCAAAAAAAAAAAAATTATCACACTAAAATAAAAATGAAGTCATCATCACATGATCCTACAGATATCATGAGACTCATCACTTAAGTCATA